ATCCTATAGGGCTGAATCCACATAAGCTCCCATGCGGAGAATTACCATCATACTCGCCTGCTTTAATCTGAACTGTTTGGTCTAGAAAGCTGCACAGGACCTTCTCCCAGAAGTCACTTAACTGACATCTTTGCTGTGTCGAATTACTTTAGGTCACAATGTCTAGCATTTTCTGAGTGGGTGAAGTAGCAACTAACCCTCTTTGCCACACTGCCTAGAGAAAGACTAGCAAATGAGAAGAAGTATTTAATGATGGATGCTCTCTCTCGTTGGGCTATGTTTCATATACACCAGGCATGGGCAAACTTTGGCCCTCCAGGTGTTTTTAACTCCCACAATTCCTAACAGTCTACTACAGCTAAAATACCACTTGTATAAGATAAACAACAGCATCTTATACATGTGGTATTTTTGTTGTATGCACTTCATTCAGGAACCCATTATATTATATTATAGTATAATATAATAACTTTAACTTTGGCAGAAAAAATGAAATGCAAAGATACAGAATGGGTGACGCCTGGCTCGAGAGAAGTACGTGTGAAAAAGATCTTGGAGTCCTCGTGGACAACAAGTTAAACATGAGCCAACAATGTGATGTGGCGGCAAAAAAAGCCAATGGGATTTTGGCCTGCATCAATAGGAGTGTAGTGTCTAGATCGAGGGAAGTCATGCTCCCCATGCTCTGTTCTACCTTGGTTAGACAACATCTGGAATATTGTGTCCAATTCTGAGCCCCACAATCAAAGAGAGATATTGACAAGCTGAAATGTGTCCAGAGGACTCCAAGATCAAGAGTCTGGAGAACAAGCCCTATGAGGAGCGGCTTAAGGAGCTGGGCATGTTTAGCCTGAAGAAGAGAAGGCTGAGAGGAGATATGATAGCCATGTATAAATATGTGAGAGGAAGCCACAGGGAGGAGGGAGCAAGCTTGTTTTCTGCTTCCTTGGAGACTAGGACGCAATGGAACAATGGCTTCAAACTACAAGAGAAGAGATTCCATCTGAACATTAGGAAGAACTTCCTGACTGTGAGAGCCGTTCAGCAGTGGAACTCTCTGCCCCGGAGTGGGGTGGAGGCTCCTTCTTTGGAAGCTTTTAAACAGAGGCTGGATGGCCATCTGTCAGGGGTGATTTGAATGCAATATTCCTGCTTCTTGGCAGGGGGTTGGACTGGATGGCCCATGAGGTCTCTTCCAACTCTTTGATTCTATGATTCTATGATTATATAGTCTACTACAGCTCCCAGAAGCTGTAATATGCTTTCCAAACTGTGCAGACATATTTGTGTATCGGCTGCATGTTGCAAAAACATAACAAGAAACTTTTGAGTCTATGTGAAATAAGCAATACCAGCGTGCATGCATTTTTTACTCTGCAAAGGTGCCAATCAGCATGATGCGTTGGTATATTCCCCTTGGAAAATCTTGGAAATGCATGCTATTATCTTACAAATCATACACACACAGACACACACACACACACACACACACAGACAAACATAAATGATTTTCATGAGATATGTAGTGTTTCCACACATTATTACTATTTATGTGTCCCTATCCCTTCTTAGAAGAGTTGGCTTAGCCTCCAAAATGAAAGGCTGCAAACTTCGGCCCTCCAGGTGTTTTGGACTTCAACTTCTGCAATTCTTAACAGCCTACTACAGCTCCCAGAAGACTTCTGGAAACTGTAGCAGGCTATTAGGAATTGTGAGAGTTGAAGTCCAAAACACCTGGAGGGCTGAAGTTTGCCCATGCCTGTGAGTCTAACCCAAGATAAGCAAGAAAGGAACCACAAAGTGTGACAGCTATTGTATTCTCTTCCTTGGCTCCTTCTTTTCTTCAGAACTGAATGAGCCCAGATGGAACTTGAGGTGCATCTATCTATCCTACACTGGCATGAATGCAGTTTGGCACTGCTTTTAACTGCCAGGGCTCAATGCTAAGAGAAGCCTAGGAGTTGCACTTGGGTGGGGCACCAGCTCTCTTTGGCAGAGAAGGTTGGAGGCCTTGTCAAAGTCCAACTGTGGAGGCCTAGACGTCGGGCTTGTGCCTAATGAGCACGCCCATAGCCAGAAATTTTTTTTGGGAGGGGTGAAACTTTTTTCCTCAAGACGACTTTTCAGACCAGTGTCTCCTGATCTGGTATGAGATCTCAACAAGGCCCTGCAATTACCATCATTATGCCAAGGTTCTTTGCCAAGGTAATAGTTCCTGAATATTGCTCCCTCTTAAAACCAGTTCTTGTTGGACACAAAGGACAACAGTTCCCACAATTGACAGATATTTCTTTCTGTTTTCTTCTGCTTTCTTCTTATTTCTTTTCTCATGACAAGGGGTTTACAAGACATTTTTCACTGTGAACTAGCAAGAAGTCTTCAGCCAAGCACAAGTTATGATATTTTTTTTCACTGTGAACTAGCAAGAAGTCTTCAGCCAAGCACAAGTTATGATATTTTTTTTTTGGTGTCCATTGAGGACTTGTATTGCATCTTTCCCTCACACAAATGGTTTAGCAACCAATGCAGCAAGCTTCCAATGACCACCTTTCCCCCCAACTTCTCCTCCAAACACCACACAGTACTTACAGATTTCACCTGGTATGTGAAATGAGTAGGCTAACAAAGGAAATTTCTTGAGTCATTTGGGTTGAAATCTTAGGTGCCTCTTCTTATCCACAGAAAATACACATCCCAGCAATGGACTCTGGATTTTGTACTAATTCAACTTTCATTTGGTTTATCACAGTGGTTCTCAACCTGTGGGTCCCCAGATGTTCTGGACTTCAGCTCCCAGCTGGTAAACTGGCTAGGATTTCTGGGAGTTGTAGGTCAAAACACCTGGGGACCCACAGGCTGAGAACCACTGTTTTATCAGAAACAGTCTTTTTCGTATAAAGTCCAAGATCTAACAATGACACAGCTTCTTCTCTTTGCTCCTGTGCCATGGTTTCTTTGGCAAGGCTTGGATTAGAATTCAATTGTTCCCAACCTTTGGTCCTCCAGGTGTTTTAGACTTTGTCTCCCACAATTCCTAACAGCTGGTAAGCTGACTGGGACTTCTAGGAGTTGAAGTCCAAGACAACTGGTGGACCAAAGGTTGGGAACCACTGGATAAGATGAACCAGTCAGTGGTAGACAGACGCCACCGTTTCCAGTTTCTTCAATATTCACTTCAAATCTCCTTTGCCTTTGTGGTGAGAAGGGCGAAATATAAATGTTTAAATAATAAATAAATAAAATAAAATATTGTTAAGAAAGTGGTCTGCAAACACTGAGAAACAAATGCGGTCATCACTAATAATCAACACGGATTTATTAAACACTAGCTGTCCCCTGCCACGAGTTGCTGTGGCCCAGTCTGGTGATCTGGAAAATAAAGTAATGAGAAAGTATTGGATTCTAATATATGTAATTCCTTTATGCTTGTGAGTAAACAGTATTTCTTGTTGTTTCTTTGTCAGTGTTGATGTGGAGAGTGTCTGGTTTGCCTAGTCTGGAATATGCAACATATCATAGTCCTTCTTTACGGGTCTCTTTCAAATCTGTGATACTATATCTGTGTGTGTGTGTGTGTGAGAATCATATCTATCTATATTTATGACTGGATGGCTCTTTGTCAGGAGGACTCTGATTACATTTTCTTGCCCTGGAGAAGAGAGTTGGACTGGATGGCCTTAAGTATTTTCTGTTGGTCATGGGGATTCTGCGTGGGAAGTTTGCCCCATTTCTGTTGTTTGTGGGTTTCAGAATGCTCTTTAATTGTAGTGAACTATAAATCCCAGTAACTACAAATTCCAAAGGAGCCCCCAGAGGCACAGTGGGTTAAAGCACTGAGCTGCTGAGCTTGTTGATCGAAAGGTCGCAGGTTCGATTCCGGGGAGCGGCGTGAGCTTCCGCTGTCAGCCCTAGCTTCTGCTAACCTAGCAGTTCGAAAACATGCAAATGTGAGTAGATTTGCATGGGAAGGTAACGGCGCTTCATGCAGTCATGCCGGCCACATGACCTTGGAGGTGTCTACGGACAACGCTGGCTCTTCGGCTTAGAAATGGAGATGAGCACCACACCCCAGAGTCAGACATGACTGGACTCAATGTCAGGGGACTACCTTTACCTTTTACAAATCAAGGTCTATTTCCTCCAAACTATCAAGGTCTATTTCCTCCAAACTCCATCTGTGTTCATATTTAGGCATATGGAATTTTTGTGTCAAGTTTGGTCCAGATCCATTATTGTTTGAGTCCACAGTGCTCTCTGGATGTAGGTGAACAGAGAAGGGCGACTAAAATGATAAAGAGTCTGGAGAACAAGCCCTATGAGGAGCGGCTTCAAGAGCTGGGCATGTTTAGCCTGAAGAAGAGAAGGCTGAGAAGAAACATGATAGCCATGTATAAATATGTGAGAGGAAGTCACAGGGAGGAGGGAGCAAGCTTGTTTTCTGTGTGCCTTGGAGACTAGGACGCGGAACAATGGCTTCAAACTACAAGAAAGGAGATTCCATCTGAACATGAGGAAGAACTTCCTGACTGTGAGAGCCGTTCAGCAGTGGAACTCTCTGCCTTGGAGTATGGTGGAGGCTCCTTCTTTGGAGTATTTTAAACAGAGGCTGGATGGCCATCTGTCGGGGGTGCTTTGAATGCAATATTCCTGCTTCTTGGCAGGGGGTTAGACTGGATGGCTCATGAGGTCTCTTCCAACTCTATAATTCTAGTCTATGAAAATTTGGATGAGATAGTGCTTGCAATGCTGAAGGGACTCTAATTTTTGCTTCTCATAGACTTGGCAGTTTAAATTCGTGAGTAAACCAGGATATTTTTTGGTGACCCCCTTGGTTACAGGCTTGCTAATGAGTCTTGGTGAGAAAGGAGGTTGCGAGGACTTCTCTGAGGGAGGCTGCGAGGACGGCTTTGGGTGGGAAGCCCCCCTCGCGAGGCCTTCCTTTGTAGTCAGTCGCCTTTCAAGTCAAAGGGTGTCCGGTTTCTCCGGCCCCGCCTCCGCTTCCACCGCCTCGAAGGGGAAATATGAAGGGGAGTTGCCTTTGCCGACTCTCTCCTCTTCAGAAGAGAAGCAGCCGCAGCCAGGAGGAGAAGGCAGGCGGCATCCGAGGGGAAGAGAAGAAGGAGAAAGCACAACTTTGGGGCGTCGGGATGGGCAGCCCTGCCTTCGCCTTGGCTTCTGCCTGAGCAAAGTGGAAGGAAAGAAGCCGTCTTTTCCCTCAGGAGGAAGAGACCTCAACAGAGGCGGGGAATCACCATTGGCGTGGAGAGTTTTTGTTTTGGTTTTGCTGCGTGTGGATTATTCCTTGGGTTTCAAAGCTTCGAGAGAAGAAGGGGAAAGAAAGAAAGCAGGAAAGTGTGGAGCATCAAAGGAGGAAGGGGGAAAGAAAAGAGGCTGCCACTGGAGACATGTCCTGCCCGTGCCTCCTCCTAGAGAGCTACCTGTCCCTCGCCCTCCTCCTCCTCTTCCAAGGTGAGCACTCTTCTTCTTCTCCTCCTGCAGGAAGAATTGGGACTCATTGAGTGTCCCTCATTCAAAATTGGTGTTTGGAAGCCCTATAGGTTCACAATCTTGGAGATGGGACCCAAGTCTAAACATGAGGTGCCTATGTTTCATATACACCAGGCATGGGGAAACATTGGGCCTCCAGGTGCTTTGGACTTCAACTCCCACCATTCCTAACAGGCTACTACAGCTCCCAGAAGCCCCCAGCCTGCATTCGCAGGCTGGGGGCTTCTGGGAGCTGTAGTAGCCTGTTAGGAATGGTGGGAGTTGAAGTCCAAAGCACCTGGAGGCCCAAAGTTTCCCCATGCCTGATATACACCTTTCACACACAGGCTGGGTGTTATTCTATTTGCAATATTCATCATTGTGTGCATGGGGCAAAAGTTGGTGTACCCACTGAATGATCACTAAGCCCTTCCAGACAGGCCCTATATCCCAGAATCTGATCCCAGGTTTTCTCCTTTAAACTGGATTATATGAGTCCGCACTACCAGATAAACAGAAAACCTGGGATCAGATCCTGGGATGGATGGATACACACACACATACATACATAGGGCCTGTCGGGAAGGGCCCTGAATCACCACCTTGAGTTTAACCCAAGTGGATAATTTTGATTTTTTGATTATTTCTGATTTTGGAATTCCAGATAAAAGATGCTCAACCTGTACTGGGTTTTCTTTGTAATAATAAAAGCAGGGCATTGTTGTTTCTTCCTTGGACCCCTTCGACACTGCCGTATAAAATCCAAATTATCTGCTTTGAACTGGATTACATGGCGGTTGTAGACTCATATAATCCAGTTCAAAGCAGGCAATGTGGAATATCTGATCTGGATTATATAGAAGTGTAGACGGGGGCTGGGTCATTCTTCAAAGGGGATTTTTTGGCATTATTTCTGTAAATTGTCATATACAGTGGTCATACTGTGTTAAATAATAATAGTAATGATAATAGTGATTTGATAATATGGATTATATGGAAGTGTAGAAGGGGCCTGGGTCATTCTTCAAAGGAGATTTTTTGGCTTTATTTATGTAAATTGTCATATACAGTAGTCATATTGTATTTAATAATAATGATTAATAATAATATTTTTTATTAATAATGTAAGCACTGGGTGCAATGCCTAATGACCTTGGTCTGCACTTAAAAACAATTGGCTCTGACAAAATTACCATCTGTCAGCTGCAAAAGGCTACCCTACTTGGATCTGCACACATTATTTGTCGATACATCACACAGTCCTAGACACTTGGGAAGTGTCCGACGTGTGATCAAATACAAAAGCCACCATAATGATCTTGTTGGCTGGGTACTAATCTTGCTGTGTATCTAATAATAATATGTGTATTTCCTTTTGTCATTTCATTTTAGACTCACAGCTATCCACAACTGAAAGCTTTATTTTACCTATTTTATTATTACCCTTTATTACTACCAGCTGCAACAAGCAGCAGAGGGTTGTTAGTGTTATTCACAAGTGTGCAAGTGGCAAGATCTCTCTGTTCTATAGAAAAACTGATTAACTACTTCTGACCAGTCAGAATAGGCAAAACTTTTGTGTTTCAGTCCGGCTTAAGCAACTTTGTAGTAGTTGGTTAAACTAGTACAAAGCTACCATGTGATCAGTCTGTTGGGTGATTGCGGATGCGAGGACTGTTTTTTATAGGGAAAAGACAGATGTTTACCCAGAACCAAAAAGTGTGGGTTTTTTGTCCATTTTCATAGCATACACTGCTTACGTTTTCTTAACTGTCTGCATTAAGAAGTCAGTGACCCAAATGTAGAGCATATGTTGAATTCGGCATGAATGAGCACCTGGAAAGCACCTCAGTTCTCGGGCCCACACTTTTTCATTGACTTCAGTGGCACTGGTTTGGAACAAAACTGGCTAGACTATAACTAAGGTTCTTAATCATTGTCATTATAAACCTTAGTTATTGGTAGTTATTGTTAATCATTGGCTGCCTATTAGCTACCGAGCACAATTCAGAGTGCTGGCTTTAGCATATAAAGCCTTAAACGACTCCGGTGCAACTTACCTGTCCAAATGTATTTCCCTCTATGAACCAGTTCATAGATTAAGATCTTCCGGGGAGGTCCTGCTCTCAGACCCACTGGCCTCACAGGTGCAGCTGATGGGGATGAGGGACAGGGCCTTCTCGTTGGTGGTCCCACAGCTGTGGAACTCATTCCCAAATGAGAACAGGTGAGCCCCTTCCCTCCTGGCTGTGGAACCAAGCATTTGGTCTATCATAAGAATATTTAAAGTTAAAGTGAAAGTTGAAAGTGCAATGACCCAGGACTGTTTATGGACAACAACTTTGTCTTTGTGTGGTATATGGTGTTATTTTATGTGATGTGTTTAATAATGTTTTATCAGGGGAGGGTCAATTTTAATGTTTTGTCAAAGGCTTTCATGGCCTTGTTGTAGGTTTTTTTGGGCTATATGGCCATGTTCTAGAACATGGCCATATAGCTCGAAAAAACCTACAACAACCCAATTTTAATGTTTTATACTTTTTTTATCAATGACATTGAATTGTTGCCAACACTAAACTACCCTGAGTCCCCTTCGGGGTTGAGAAGGACAGTTTACAAATACCGCAAGTTGTTGTTGTTGTTGTTTATTCGTTCAGTCGTTTCCAAATAAATAAAAAATGAAACCACTGCACACATTTAATTCTGTGCAAAAGAAGAATCATGCTCATGTGAATAACTCAGGTGAATCAGATCAAGAAATAATGTGTTAGAGATGATATTTCCATAACTAGCTGAAAAATCCTTAAGCAAGCCATGGTGGAAATTGTGGTTGTGGCTTTCAATTTGCTTCTAATGTCCTGTCATGGGTTTTCTTGGCACGAATTCTTCGGAGGAAGAGTTCCTCGTGTCTTCATCTGAAGCTGAGGTCCCTTCCACACAGCTGAATAAAATCCCATATTATCTGCTTTGAACTAGAATATATGGCAGTGTGGACACACATAACCCAGTTCAAAGCAGATATTGTGGAATTTCTGCCTTGATATTCTGGATTAAATGGCTGTGTGGAAGAGCCCTGGGAGTGTATGGTTTGCCCAAAGTCTTTTGGTGTGTTTTCATGGCCAAGCAGGGATTCAACCCCTAGTTTCCAGAGTTGTAGTCCAACACTCAAACTACTACCATATACAATGCTGGCTCCCAATAGGAAAGTCCCATCCTCCATATTCCTCCTGCTTACTACTAAGGTCCCTTCCACACAGCTATATAACCTAGAATATCAAGGCAGAAAATCCCACGTTATCCCAGTATGGACTCAGATAACCCAGTTCAAAGCAGATATTGTGGGATTTTCTGCCTTGTGTGGAAGGGCCCTTAGAAACCTGTATTACTGAGTACACTATCTCTTAAGGAGATCTCCTTAGCCACTGGTAGACACAGGGTGCATTTGTCAAATATTTTTAAAGCCTCCTATATCAATGGTGATTGCCACATGTTGTGAAAGCCAGCTCTGTAAATGATGTGTTGGTGATTTGATGTGTAGTGGTTCATCTGTCCTGGATCTTCTGCCAGTTGATTTATTTGAGGGGAAAGCTTACACTCTTATGAGATCTAACTGATGGGAATCTATCCATGTATTCCACACTGCTCATGTTTTTATGAAGCTCTGTCACGCTATCCTCTAATTACTTTCTAAAATTAAAGCTTTATTCTTTTCTCATGGAAGGTAGCCATGAGATAGAAGATGAATGCAGAATTACAAATGTGACATTTGTATAAGTGCGTTATTGATACTGGGGTTCTTCTTTTCAGTCCTTTATCTAATAATCCTTAATATGAAACTTGTATTTTTTAAACTACTATTCAAACAGACTGCTTTGATCTTTCAATAGAGTTATCTCCAAATTTCACATAAAATGACCTCAAAAACACTTTATTTTATGGTTCGTGCAATTAAATCCTTCCTCTTCCCGAAAATTTACACTGCCCAGTCTCCCAGTGTTTTAAAATTTTATCCTTGAATTTGGCCCTGCCCAGTGAAATCTTGTGTGTTTAGTGCTTGTTTTATATTGTTCTGTTGTTTATTATATTGGATTTGCATTCTATGTTTTTATTTTTTAGTTCTGTTATGCTTTTGCGTTATATTGTGATTACTGTACTGATGGGTGTGGCCTCATGTAAGCCGCCCCGAGTCCCCCTGGGGGAGATGGAGCGGGGTATAAATAAATTTTTATTATTATTATCTACTCAGAGCTTGAAAAACTCATTGTAGTTGCAACTTTTTCACATTTTACCATGTATATGTGACTAGGAGTTTTATATCCTAAATATGCACTAGTTTATGTTTCCTTATACTGAATTTTGTTGTGTATCTTGTTGTCAACACATTCATTGCAAAGAGCATGGAATTCTACATCTGGAATAAACTAGCTTTATATTAAAATCTGCTTTAGATTGCCCTTTGTTATGAGCTGTCTCCTCACAGCATGTTGAGGAACCCCAAAAGAGATACAAGAGTTCTCTCTTGTAAACAACGTCCATGTGTTTTATACCTGTCTGAACGTATCTCTCCTTATGAACCAGCTAGGAAATTAAGATCCGGGAAGGCCCTGCTCTCGATCCCGTCTTCGTTGCAGGCGCACCTGGCGGGGATGAGAGACAGGGCCTTCTCAGTGGTGGTCCCTTGGCTATGGAACTCCCTCCCTAGGGATAATAGATCGGCCCTCTCCCTACTGACATTTCAAAAAAAAAAGGAAAAACCTGGCTCATTGAACAAGCTTTTGGAAACGCAGTGTAATGGATGAATATGGAACCAGGAAAGAGTGAACATGGAATAGCTTAGACAATGTTTTTAATGATTTTTACATGTTTTTATAATGTGTGCTAAATGATTTTAATTGTGTTTTATGACTACTGTTGCATCAAATTGTTGCCAGTTTGTAAGCTACTTTGAGTCGCCTTCGGGCTGAGAAAGACAGCATAGAGAT